GGCTGGTATACCCTGACAACATGTGCAATGTACATGAGATGAAGTCTCATTATCCTTACTTCTAAGAGGTATTCTGGGTGTATTGGAATATAGAGTTGTTTGTTCTTTTGTCAGATCTTAGTACTTTCATATCCTTCACCAAAATAAACTGCTGTTCTAATTTTTATTCTTCTGATGAACTAATCTTATTTGGTTAACAGGTATTTTTATGTAAGACAGAATGAAAACTTTTTCCAAGATTATTTGGTTGCTATCTATCTATCTATCTATCTATCTATCTATCTATCTATCTATCATCTATCTATCTATCTATCTATCATCTATCTATCTATCTATCTATCTATCTATCTATCTATCTATTTACCTGTATATTTTCACCAAGAAGAATATAACTTTGCAGTAATATTAAGGTATTTTATTTTTCATGATTATTCTAATTTATGTTTGGCAGAAATAATTTTCAAGACTCCTTTGATCTATGAAAACAAATAACGTTACACTTTCTTAAATCTCTAAATAATAATGTGATAAGAATGGCCATGTAACTTAAAAAAATGATGTCATGACCAGATGTAATTTGTCTGATTATCATATTAATGCTAAAGAAAAATTATTTTGTTGAAATAGATTTTCCACACTCTGGATTTTCACTTTTGCATTTCTGCTTACTTCTTATGGTATTACAAAAGCACATTTGTATCAGCGTCACATATGGAAAAACAAAAACATTAACTCACTGGGATGTAGTTAATTTCAATTCATTTAAAGCATACAACATAGAGTAGAACTGCCCCTTTGTGTTTTCAAGGCTGTAATTTAATAGGAACAAAAGCTCCTTTCTCTGGAATACTGACTGGTTAATTTGAACTACTGACCAAGGCCATCTCTTAATCCACTACAGCACTTGGCTAAGCAATAATTTCATTTTTATTCAATGATTTTATGTTAGAATCTGGCTAAATGAAAAAAATTAAAAGTAGACCATTTCATGAAAAAAACAATAGTAAGATGCAATTGAGTGCTTAAGGACACTCTCGTGTATAATCAATAAAAAAATACTGCAATCATACACTAAGAAAATACTTAAAAAAATAAAATTAAATTAAATTAAAAAAAAGAAAATACTTAGACCTCTTTACATAAACTTAAACTTTGAGCCTAGGCTGAAAATCAAGAAACAGAAATAAAAACCACTTACATTGTAACTAGTTAAACATACATGCATTGTCTCTAGACAACCAAATTTATTAATGGTTCATTATGGTAGAGGGCCTCTTTAAGTATTATGTTAGACTTAAACACATTTTCTACCCTTCTAACATATCTCTTGAAAGTCATTTTCTTCCATATGGGAGAAAGGATAAAATGGAAATATTAAGATTGATTTGTAGGTTTGGTAATAAAAGAAATATGAGGCTTAAATCTGTAATTTCCAGTCTACTCTTTAGCGAATCAACATAGCTCACCAGTCTGGATTAAGATTTGCCATATTTTTCTCATCATTGGGAAACATAATTTTTGGTATGAATTGGGAAATAAATGAATACAAATACAAATTTTTTTTTAGGTAAAAATGACTTTATAGACTATGATTTTCCATTTTAGTAACAACTGGAAGATACAGGGAAATCTTCACTTGAATGTTTAGAAATTATTATAACAGGAAAAATTCAAGGTAAGTGTTAACCCTTCTTGCCCTTGTAAATTTATTACATTTCCTTAGAAAACTAGTCAAAATTCAATACAACTTCATTTCAAATAATCAAAATAATATTTCTTAAGAAAATGTATCTTAAACATCTACTTATTTTTATACATTCAAATAAAATGCATTTTTTAGATATTGGTATTAAGTTTATAACATATTCCTCCTGGTGACCCTTTAGAAATAGGTAGACATATTAATTAAGATATGTTAAATACTTCAAGTACAATAATGACATATTGTCTATTTTTAATGATTGCAATCTCTGTTTCCCAGGTTGAATTTATAATCCACCTAGTCATGATATGAAAAAAAGAAAACTGAAATTATTAATTCAATTAAAATTTAGTGACATTGGTGAGAAAGCAAACATTTTTATTATAACTACACTAGGTTTTTAGGCTAATTTTAAAAAGATGCGTTATTTATATATAATATGTCTAAAAGATGGTTTGAAATTAATAGCTTATAAGGAATTTATGTAGAGGACAGAGACTTTGTCATTTAGCATTGTGTCCAAGAATGCATTTTTATATAGCTACATTCATTTATTTGAAGAGAAGGCCACCCTCTGGACCATGCTCCTGAAGGCTTGTTTCACTTGCTGATTCCGCAGTGTGTATATGAACGGATTCAAGAGGGGAGCCACAAAGGTATGGAGCACAGCTATTCCTTTACTTAATGTCACTCTTTCCCTTG